TCCTGGAATACACCAAGTAGGCCAAGGGACTAGTCTGTGAGCTCCAGGGAGCTTCCTGTCTCTGCCTTCCTCTGTGGGTGGATTACAGGTGCTCACTCCCAGGCCTTGCTTTTTGATGGAGGTTTTGGGGGTGGAGCTCAGGTCTCCATGTGTGCAGCAAGCACCTTCCTCCCTGGCCCCAGAACCAGACTTTCTACTTCTCGCTCTACAACCTACTTCTGAAGTGCCTGTGGAAGGATGCCCCAGGGCTGGCTGTGCCTTTCCGTGGAAGCACTGTTGAGTCTCCAGGCTTCTCCACCCTCTGTGTGCCCTCTCCTGACCCCATTTGCTTTTATAAACCCTGGGTCTTCTGAGCAGCTGCCTTCCTGTCTGGATTCTCTGAAGCCGACGCCAGTGGCTGGAGAAGGGACATCTATCTTTCTTAGCACTGTTGTTCCCAGGAGATACGATTTTCCTGATAGATGTGTTTTGGCTGCAGCTACTCAGGGTACAGTGAGAGATTGTTCAAAGTCTCAGTGTTTGGCAACCGTTTAGAAAAATCGCACTTGACCTTTGGAAAGTAAATCCCGTGGGCTGGGGATATAACTGGAGTAAAGTGTCTGACGTGAAAGCGTGAGGGCCTGGGTTCAATCCCCGCGCTAGCTTGTTACAATGAAGGGTGCGGTGACACATCCTTGTGATCCCAGTGCTGGAGAGGCAGAGCAGGTGGGTCCCCAGAGCTTGCTGGCCAGACAGCCTAGCCTAATGAGCCAGTTCCAAGACCCATGGAGAGGCCCTGCGTCCAAACATGTGAGGAACGGTGTCTGAGGTGAGTTGATCTCGGGCCTCTATGCTTACATGCACACGTGTTTGCATGAACACTACCAGAGAGGGCAGAGACAGACAGGAACAGAGAGAGGTACTCAGGACACAAACAGCAGGAAGGAAACTGCACAGCGGTGTGTTTAAGTCTCCTGGGCTTGTGGCCTGCTTTGTGGAGAAGAGGGGAGTCAAGGTTCTGGGGTCTCCAACAGAGGGCTGTGGAAGCATCACAGTTATTAACACCCTATGGCGGCAGATGGCTTCAGTGGTGGCTGTAGCCATATTGTATCCACCTGCTTTTCTGTGGTCAGGACTTACAATGCCTATCAGGAGGAGGCATCTGTTTCCCTTTCTTGATGCTAACTTTAAGGCTTGCCCATACGTGTGGTCACACGGACAGCATCCATTAGTTTTCTCATTGCTACGATCAAACTCTTGGCAAACAACAACAACAGCAAAAATCCTTAAGGGATGAAGGGTCTTTTCTGGCTCACGGTTTAGGGGTACAGTCCATCATGGCAGAACACACAGAAGCAGCTCTACAATGTGGTGGCAGGTGCCTACGGCTGCTCACTTACATGTGGACAGACTAGGAAACCAGGGGCAGGAAACGGGGGGGGGCTATAAATGTTAAGTCTTGAGACTGGAGAGATGACTCAGTGGTTTTAAATACTGGCTGCTCTCCCAGAGGACCTGGGTTCAATTCCCAGCATCCACATGGCAGCTCATAACTGTCTTTAACTCCAGTTCCAGGGGGATCCAACACCCTCACACAGACACACATGTGGGCAACACACTAGTACACACAAAGTAAAAATAAATAAACAAATGTCACCTTGTCCTCGGTGACCCATTTCCTCCTCTACCTCTTAAAGGTTTCACACCTTCTCCAAACGATGGCACCTCTTAGGAACCAAGTGTTCAGACACCTGAACCCTTGGGGATCATCAACATTCAAACCCTGAAAATGGGGTTATGTGATCCTCAGGGCTGGATCAGGAAAAGTCAGGTAGCTTTTGCCTACTTCTCTGTGGATGCTGGAATTTTCAGTACGCGCAGACAGCTGGGAATGTGTTGGTACTCCAGTTCAGCCAGAGCCAGACTGTCATTGGTGGATAGCCTAGCATGGCCCTCAGACAGCTACAGTGTCAGCCGATGTCCTAAGATATTGTAAGAGAGCAGTGAAGTAAGAACTCTTCAGCCCGATCCCCAGAATTTCCCAAACCAGAAACTCACAAGTAAAATCAATTATTTTTGGATGATTTATTGTGGAGTCACAGTAATCAGAAATGCTCTAAAAATTTTAGTTCTCACAAACAGCCCATATGTCCTAAAAACATCTTTTAAGTAAGCTTTGCTGCCTTTCGTTTTGTTTAAAAATGCTTTTAAAACACCCGGGAGCAGGGAGTAGGCTGTGACACCATCAAAGAAAATACTAAAAACCGGAGGAAACACACACCAGAGACTGGGGTATGGCGGTAAATGGAAAAAAAATACTAGTTTTTCTGCCTATGTTTTGTTGGGGATTCTGTGTGTTTCAAAATCCCCCTTTTTATCTTCCCAACCTTTTAATTTTTCTCTGCCCTTCCCTCTATTTCCCTCTTTCCCTTCCTTTTTCCTTTCCTTTCTCATATAGTCCAGGCTAGCCTTCAGTCTGCTTCACCTCATCCCCCTGCCTCCACTCCCTGAGAGCTGGGATTATAGGTGCACACCTCCACCCAGCTGATAGGAACAGAACCCCAGGGCCTTGTACGTGCCCGGCCATCATCTACCAACTAGGTTTCAACCCAGTCTCCTTGTGTGTACTTTCAGTGTAAATTCCATGCCAGTTCTGTAAGACAGAGTCAATTCACAGACAAGTTAACTGAAGATTGGGATGTTAAGGAAAGGACTTCCCATGCTCTGCAGAGCCAGGGCTGGATTGAAACACTGGGATTGTAAAAGTTGCATTATCAAGTTTCTTGGAGTCAAGAGTGCAAGCCTTTCAGGGATTCCTGGGTCAGCGCTGGAGCAGAACGCCAGGAGAATAGTTTAAAATTCACATCCCCAGAACCTGTCCCTACTGCTTGTCCATCTGGCTAGCAAGGCTCTAGAAGGTTCTCACCCACCTCTAGCCGTGGCTTCTGATTGAGTTACATGCTTTCCCATTGCAGGCGCATACACTGCAGCCCACAAAGGGGCAGTGCTTTACTCAGTACCATGGAGAGCAGCTTCGTGGTTGGGGTTCTGTACCTATGAGCAGTTTCCTGATGCCCACAGAGGTAATCGGCATATCTTACCTCGGAGAAAGTACACAGGGTCCATGGCGGCTTTGCAGACCAGGTTCTTGGCACACGTGGGACCCCATTCTGCAATAGACACAGTCTGGGCTCAGGTTGGTGAGGGCTTGGCTGGTTTCTATGGCAGTGATTACTATACTGACAAGTGTTTGCCAGTTGACTCTCAGCATTCCAGGTGGAGTGGTGTGGACACAGGGCCGAGCAGAGCTGTCGAAGGCGCCTCTTCTTAGAATCCCTAAGTACACAGATTCCTAGCATTGAACCCCACCCACAGTTAGAGGTGAGGGCCCAGAGAAGAGAGAAGGGAAGGAAGGGCAGAAAGACATGTAGAAACAGACAGGAATTGCTTCTTTTAGATGCACGATCGAGTTGACGGCAAAGCCGGTCTGCTGTATTACAATATACTGTGAAGCTGCTTGAAGTTGGAGCCTCCCAGTGGGTCAGCCATCCTAGGTGGCTCTCAGCTTACAGTCCTTGTGGGGGTCACTGCTGAAAATGGACATGAAAGATACCAACAGACCGTGATCATATGACACCCAAGTTTGGGATCCAAATTGAGGTTGTAAGGTCCTCAGTTTGGCTAGGACCTGGCTCTTGGGTGACTATTCTTTTTTTACTTCCTATTCTTCCTTCCTTCCTTCCTTCCTTCCTTCCTTCCTTCCTTCCTTCCTTCCTTCCTTCCTTCTTTCCTTCCTATCTTTTGCCCATGTCAGAGGGAATTCCTGGATCCAGGACTGAAACAGGGATGGCTGTGGGAAGACTAAGACTGCTAGGTACTCTAAAAGTCCCTGGAGGATCATCCTGTCCTCCTCTTCTTCTAGCTTCCACCCCACGCTCCTCATCTTGGTCCATAGTATCCCAAACTAGAAGCTTGGACTGGATTTCAACCACGCCCACCCACCCACCCACATGCCCTCCCATGCGTCCTCCTGGCCACGCTGCAGGCATCTCTTACTGGGGTAGTTGTATGTCCCGACTATCTTCTTGCCTGCATTCCTCTGCTCTTCTCCGAGTCTCAGGCATCGCATTGCCAGGGCAATTTGGCGAGTCCCAGCCTATTAGCTCAGGATCAAAATTTCTCAGCCTGGCAGTGGAAGACTGAACCTCCTGATGCTCTGGCTCCCAGCCGTTCGTGCCTGAACCCATTCTGAATGAGGTTTAGGTGGAGATGGGGGCTGGAGAGGCTGGGATGAGGTTAATAGCTGAAAACGAAAAAGTACATTCTTATTGCCTGTCTCCCACACTCCCACCACTTCCCTTTTTAATGATTACTTTCCATGGTCCAACTAATGAAGATGTGCCCCAGGCTCGGAGTGTGGTGACTTCCCGCGGCAGGGGCGGGTTCTCCAAGGGTGAAAAGACGAAGGTGAAAGATACCTAGAGTTAGCTCATTAGCAGGCCAACGACACCCTGTCTCCTCATCCTTCCTCTGCCCCCTCATCCTTCCTCTGCCCCCTAGTGGAGGGAGTGGCAGCAGTGTGACCTAATCTGGGCGACACCCGGGAGGGCAGGGCACTTCTTGTCCCCTGTCTGGGTCAAGGGAGACAGCTGAGTCTCCATTTCTGTCTCAGATCCATTTTGTTCTCAGACACTGTGCTGCCGACCTCACCTTGACCCCGCGTGAGCCATTGTGTGGCATGTGAACTTTCAGCTCACGTTAGGAACCTAAATTCTTAGAGGCTTTGTTTCCTTACCAAGAATGAGTCCTTGCTGCCAGGGGGACAGAAGACTATGCAGTCTCAGTGTTTCTCTGTCTTTGTCCCGTTGGACTTGGCTGAGGACCATCACTCGGGGCTGTTTCTCCCCTTCCCAGAAGTCTGGAAGACTCTCCTAAGGGGATGCAGAAGTGGCTTCCCAGGGTCTGTCCAAAGCAGCTGAATGCTCGGCTTTCATGTCCTTTTTTTTTTCATTTTGTTTCAGTTTTACAGAGTTTTTGGATCCGTTCCAGAGAGTCATCCAGCCGGAAGAGATCTGGCTCTATAAAAATCCTTTGGTGCAGTCAGACAACATCCCTACGCGCCTCATGTTTGTAAGTACCGTGATTTGGTGACCAATCTGTTCCAACTTTGAACCAACTGAACTTTGATCCTCACTGGTCAACCCCTGTTGAAGGCATTAGTCAACTTTAAATAAAGAACAAAGCGATCCACCCAGTTAAAACTCGCTTCCGGATCAAGAGGGCCCCCGATGGCTCACTTGAGACATTGTGATTGTCTAACACTTTGGGAGGAGAGCAGCCTTCCTTACCTGACTTATGGTGAGTGTTTCCACATATTGACAATATAGTGAAAACCGACCAGAAGCTAGTGACAAGAATCCCTGCCCCTTCTCCTTTAAGAATAAGCCTGAAAGTCCATGTAGAGAGCTTTGCTAACCACACGTCTAGTTTGGATTAGGCATTTGCTGACCACTGACAAGATGACCCTGTGGTGGGCTGAGGAGCTGCTTATTAGGCAAAGTTCTTGCCCCATGGGAGCACTGGAGATTGGATCCCCTCAACTCAAGTAAACGCTGAGTGGGTGTGGTGCTCAGCCCGTAATCCCAGCACATGGAAGGCAGAAACAAACTACCGTCAGTAAGCATGGAAGCCAGACTAGGCAAATCAGTACGCTCTGGGATCAAATATGAGATCCTACCTCGATATCTAAGTGGAGCGCCATTGAAGAAGACATCCCACTTCAACTAGAGACCTCTATACACGCTACACACACACATACGTGTGCCCACACACATGCCAACAGAAATACATATGTGTCCATTACATACCCAGACACAAAGAAAAAAGCCTCCTCCATGGCCTAGCCACTAGATGCTGTCTGTGCCCCTCTCCTAGAACAATTGAGCAAACACCCAAGCAGCTGGTGAATATAGTGGGATTATTTTATCTTCTTCTCTTACCATGGAAACTACAGCCCTTTACCTTTTCCTCCCTGTGTGTCAGTGCCTATGGAAAGTCTGCCTCATACAGTCCCAGCCTATGTCATAGAGGAAAGGGTCTTTATTTTCTGCAGCTTATAGATCAGAAGTGCCTTCCAGACAGAGGAGGGCCCTTTGCTGGAGCCACACAGCTGGTGAATAACAGTGTCAGATCCAAGTAACCAATTCTGGAGGTCCGCTGTCCACCTGGAGACTGTCCTGAATGTTCCAGAGCATCTGGAACTCCTTACTGATGCCCAGTTACTCTTGGAGCATCGCCAGCGAGCCATTCTGTAGCAAAGGAAGCCGTCGCATGCTCCCTCCACCGGAAACAATAACAAACCTTTCAGACGGGCTGCCCAGTGGCTCGACGGTGATTCCTGTTGCCACATCATTATGCCTGTGCTTCTGGGGACTGAGGTGACTATTCCAGAACAGTGACAGTACACCTGGGGCTATTCAAAAGAAATCCCTTTATTTCACAGAGGAAAGCTTCTTGAGTAACTATGGTTGGAAAGATATTCGTATCTGCAATTGAAATGCCTTCTATACTGCACGAACCTTCAGGTGTTATTACAGTTGCTTTTAATAATTACTTTTCAGCTTGGAAAATAAAATAGATTTCTGTAAATCTTAGGCAAAGTGAACTATTAAGGTCGGTTGGCAGTAGAGCATAACAAATACTCACATATTACAATAAGATCCTTCTCCAGTTCTATCCTAACTCAATAAATCCTAGATATGAAGGAACCAGTGTGTGGCTAATAACTTCACAGCACAATTAGGGGGAAACATCTGTTTATCACTCAGATCCATTCTTCCCAGGGTTTTGCATTTCATGTGCTGTAAAATGCAATTTGGAAATGAATGTTCACACAGGACAGTGAGAGAAATTTGTAGCTCTGGCCTAGATTTCTAAACAATGGACTGTTTTGAAGACTGGCTGCAGATGCCACAAACGTTCTGGCTACAGACACAAGTGGGATGAGACAGTTTGTGTATCGCCAGTGGTTTGGATGAGATGCCAAAACGTTATTCAGTACCGTGATTCTTAAGGAATCAGCATGTATTTGGCTCTATGCACTGGCTCACTCTGTAACCTTATAATTAAGCAACTTCAGCCTTTTGCTTTGTTAAGAGTGGTTGGCAATGCTCGTACATGTGGCTATGAGAGTCAGCGCGGCCCGTGAGAGCAGCAGGAGAGCAGAAGGGCCATGTGAAATACCTGCAGCCACAGGTGGAAAGTGCTGTCGTTCTATGATTAGATTCATTCACCTAGATTTTGTTAAGAATGTAACGTGAGATATTGTTTGTCAACTTTGGTTTCTGGGAAACTTTCCCAGTGTCTACAGAAGACTGTTCAGTGGAGCGTACAGTCTCCTGTATTAGTCTAATCTAGGTCAGTTTCTCTTTGTCTTGCTGTGTGTGTGTGTGTGTATAAGTGCATGCATGCGCACATGCACACATGCCACGGTGTGCCTGTCACCATCAGAGACCAGCTTGTGAGAGTTTGTCCTCTCCTCCTTCTGTGTGGGTTCTAGTAATGGGACGCAGGTAGTGGAGGTTTGGCAGGCAGTGTACCTTTACTGACTTGTCCACCTTGCTGGCCTAAATTTCGTTCTTTCATTCATAAAGTCATGTATCTTTAATGTAGGTTGGAATGTTTTCTTCTGGATGTGAATTTTCTAACCTTTTAACTAAAATGTTTTTCAAGTAATTAGTGGCTCCAAGTCAGCAGTGTGCATGTGTGTGCATGCATGGATACATGTGTGTTTGTTTGTGTGTGTGTGAAAGTCTCTTGGTCAAATGTAACCAGAAAAATAATACAGTAAAGGTTTGGTGATTGAGTCGAGTGTAGTCAACGGGAGAATAAGTGGTATTAGCATCCTCAGAAAATCCCCAGCTTGCATTTTATCTACCTATGGCTCCTACAGTGCTGCTAATGGGTCTGGGAAGGTGGGACTGTTTGATGCCAGGAGCTTGTTTTCCCATGGTGATTCTGTCTTCCTGTTGACTAGAGAAACAGATCAAGGATTCTCTTTAGAAACACTGAGTCTTGACTTAGTTGATTTCTTCATCAACCCCAAGCAGTCACGATTCCTTGCTGAGTATGTGGGGTTTATCAGAGCATGATTAAACACCCACTATTACCGGTGTAGGGAATGTCAGTTGGTCATGAGTATTACTTAGTGTACCCTCTATTGATGTCATGTTGTGTATTCAGGGCATATGTTCAAGGAACATGTTGCGGGGTAGGGGAGACCATAAGGGTTGTGGAAAATGGTCAGGTATAGACCGTACCCTCAGGGATCCTGCATATATACTCTGATACAAAATAGGATCTGGAAAGTATTGTGGGAATTTGATCCATTTGGTCAATGACATTTCAGATGACTATCCCTGTGAGCATGGTTTCCTCTGAAGACATGACTGGATAAAACCGAGGAGGAGGAGGTTGCATGCTCTTTCTCTTGGGTGGTTGGAGCAAAAGCAAGCCTTGTGGTTGGTTCTCACCACCCGTGGGCAGAACACCAAGACAATGGTGGCTGGATCAGCAGCGGCATCTACTTTTTCTGTTTTCATGAGTCTGTTTTTCCGTTGCACCCCTTAATAAATTGTGGACTAGACTTTGAGGGTTCTCGCTTCAGAAAAAGTCAAAGGGGAGATTTAGGTAAACTTTTGGGGAGCATCACCATCATCATCATCATCTTCACCACCAGCTTCCTCACCACCATCCTCATTGCTATCATCTGTCCCCAGCCACACCACTCCCCCCATCACGAGCTACCACAGTGGCCACGGCTTCTTGAGGACAGCGCGTGTGCTCATCACATAACAAGCAGCATCTCAGTAATGCTTCTCAGAATTTCTGATGACACCATTTTTTTTTATCAGCTCAGTAGTTTCAGGCTGAAAAGTAAAAAAAAAAAACTTTACTGAGGTCCTACAACTGTTAGAAGCTAGACCAGACCCTCTCACAACACTGAGAAGCCCTTATGCTGTGATATGCCACCTTTGGACTGTGATGAGGTGGGGAGTGGGTGGAGAGGGGGTGCCAGCGTGTGACACACAGGAAATGCAGACATAAAGGCTCCAAAGTGGGAGTAAAGGGCCATGTAGGCCCACTGAGTTGGGGTTTATTGGGGAGTAACTATTGGGTGAACAGAGTCAGAGTTTATGGGGAAGTATCTGTAGGGTGAGGGGGCAGAGGAGGCAGGGATGGAGCCAGATGATGAGTGCCTTTGGTTTAATGTTGATCACCACTGTTCCTCACTACCCAGTGATGCCGTGAGCCATGCCTAGGGCTGGGTGGTAGTGATGCAGGCCTGGATATGACGTGGCTCCTATTCTAGTCGGGGCACAGACACATGCATCAGCTGGGCAGTTCAACGCTGCTAGAAAACCTCTGAAGAGCAATTTAGACTTAAATGGGAGACTGCGAAGAGAGTTCTGAGACTTTCCCCTTGTCTTTCAAGGAAACACCCAACTCATCTTCTTTGTCTCTTCTGGTTACGGCCGGAGCTCGCTTGATTTCCTCTCCCAGAATCTTCCTGTCACTGTGATGACTTGCTAGGAGGATTTCCTATTCTGGGAAGCTTTTAAGGAAGATGGGAGCTACTCAGTGCGGAGAGAGGACGGAAGGGGAAGAGACACACTTTGCTGGTGACAGACAGCTTAATTTGCAGTCTCTTTTTAAGTCTTTGACGGCCCTTCCCTTGGTGACAGGCTGCCCTTGTTTACCCAAAGTGGGGCCTTTGCTGGGCATCTGTGTACGTTGGCGTTGTCTTTAAAATCGCTTCGCTGCCCACTTTTATGCAAGATGCCAGAGCTGTAGGCGCTTTGACCCTGTGTTGTGACATACATGAGCCTTGACGGCCTCCTCCCCAGCTAGAATCCTGACATTGGAATGTTGTGGACTTAACTCCCTTGTTATTAATCCTTCCTGCCCTGGTCACAGCCTCCCTCTGCAGATGGGCTGCTCCAAGCCTTGCCTTTCCTGGACACATCTGGGAGAGCATCGCGCTTGGCAGCGGTGCTGAGGCAGACCCTATTTCTAGATGGAGTAGAATCTGGACACTGGGGGCATTTCCTGTGTGGGATTCTCTGGTGGGTATACAACGGGGAAACCCACTTGGAGACAGGGGTCATATACTACTTGGGCAAGATGCCAGGGATCTTCTGTGCTTTATTGTTTCCAACCCTCTCCCTTTACCCAGTATCCTCTACTCAGGTCAGTTGAGTTAATGTGGAGCCCACTTTCATCCCATGGGAGGTCCTGGTACCCTGGGGTGTACTCTGAATACATGCTACATTTATTTGGGGGTATGATGAGACACCAGGTAACAAACGGGGGAGGGGATGGTAAATCTAGATGTATCTCTGTTCTGTGTAGGCTCTCTGCTCCCTCCAAGCTTGCATCTTAAACAACAAGCAGGAAAGGAGTGATTTGTGGCTTTCCAAACCACAGAGCCCCCAGTGATATACTTCTTCCAGCACACCTGCTAAGCCTTCCCAGATAATGCCACCAACTGGGGACAAATACTCAAATGCATGAAACGATGGAGGACACTGGTCCTCAACCTGTGGGTCGCGGCCATTGGAAATCACATAGTTCTGAAGGGCTTAGGAACCCCCAACCATGAATTTATTTCACTCTTGCTTCATAAGTGTAATTTTGCTACTGAGTGGTGCTTCGGTTCCTAAGATCATCAAAAATAGGTGTTTTCCAGTGGCTGTGGCCCACAGGTTGAGAACTGCTGATGCAGGGCTTTTCATCCAAACTACCATGCATGGCCAGGACAAAGGCATGGGACTGGTGCCCCTCCTGTTACTAGGACACAGGAGAGATCATACCCTGTAGCTGGCCACAGATACTTCTGTTTGGAGATGGAGCTGGGTGCTCTGTCAGGTTGCAGCGCTTTCCTGGAACTCTTAAAGTGGGGGAACTGAGCTGCCCCCTGGGCCCACCCTGTGCTTAGTACTGGCTCAGTAAGCAGGTCATAAAAATGATCCCAAACAGCTCCGACTTAGGAAAGCTGCAGAGTAGGTACAGTGAAGGCTGGTTTGGGCAGAGGCAGAGGGGAGGGAAACCTAATTAAAAGCAAGAAATCTGTGGCAGGGAATGATGCTACAGAAAGGTCTCTGCCATGGGTCCCTGTGACTCCCTAGCTCTCATCCCTGGCAGCGAGCCTGCGTGTTTCTTACCTGATGCTGTATTTCCTATTTGGACCAAAACATCCTACTCTAAAATCCCTTTTACCAGCCTTCAGGGCCTCATGGGAAAGACTTTTCTGCTCGTATTTTATTTGGAGTTTTATTTCTGTTTACACACTTGGGAGCATGCTGGCTAGGGTTGCCTCTCAACACTTTTTTCTTTTCTGTGTTACTCTATTAAGTCTTCCTTACAGGCCACTATTTGATGAGTTTCTCTCTCCTCTTTGGTAGCTTGTGGCATGAACTATACTTAGGGCTTTAAGAGATGGGAAATAATTAGGCTGCTGAGCTTGATGTTTGCATTTGGAGTCAAAAAGGATCCCTGAGCCTTGGCTGTGGTCTTGGCTGTTAGAAGGTGATACTTCAGATGCTGGTTTTCAGGGTCTGAATGTGAAGATGTATTTCTCAAGCAATAGCATCAGGAGCCTTAACTGATGTCTTGGCTGTTTGAAGGTGATACTCTGGACGTCAGTTTCAGGATCTGAATGTGAAGTTGTGTTTCTCAATGCAACAGCATCAGGAGTGTTTGAGATACTTATTTAAAAAAAATATGATCCTCAGTCCCCAGACGGGCCGTATAAGTGTGTCATCATTTCAGCAAGCCCTGGGTTATTCAAGTATGAGCAGTTGACTTCCAGGTTCTTTCAGCTAAATTTCAAATAGCCTATGTCATCCAGAGCCATTAACTACTAAGGGTACAACCCCAAATCAGTTACTACCTCTCGTGGTCACAAAGACATGTCAACAAATAAGAAGGAAGGCTTTTTGGTGTCTCATAAGTCATCTCTGAAGGTAGAAACCAAACAGGAGCGCCAGAAATAGTTAATTGAAATGGGAAGAAGCTATTTTGAAAGGTCATGTGCATGAATTCCATCCATGATTTTGTCTTATGAGGAAGCTGTTCTGTGAAAGGTAATGTCTCTTCTGAGAATTTTAAATAATTTCTAAGTGGGAACATAAGGGATCCATAGTTACCACCCCTTCCTATCACTTTCTGATTGATGCAGTGTTAGGTCCATCCAGACACTGTTGTCCTGAGATGTTATACATGAAGAGTTAAGCAAATACTTTTCCTCCTGGTGGCACCAGTAACTAAAGAAACTCCTTACTGGAGGCAGAAAACTTGCTTTAGAAGATCAGCCTGCTAAGCCTCCAGGATTTTCTCTAAACCCAAGAAATTGTCTCAGAGCCATCATGAGCCTTAAATACTTCTAATATAGGGACGATCTCATAGGGTGCTTTATGATGAGCCTGTTTGGCATGGATCCCACCATCTTCATTCCAATGTGTATTTGGGTAGATGTACCTTAGTTACTCTCCTTGTTGCTGTAGTCAAAGACCTGGCGAGAAGCAACTGAAGAGAGCATTGATTTATTTTGGCTTACAGTTTGAGAGGATACAGTCCATGATGGTGGGGAAGTCACCTCAGTAGAAGTAGGAGATGGCTGGTCATGTTGTATCTGAGTCAGGAAGTGGGGGGATGAGTGCTGGGGATGCAGTCTCTTTCTCTTTGCCCTTCTGTCTGGGACCCTACCCACGAAATAGCACTGCTCACAGATAGGCTGTATCTTGCTACATGAACTAACCCAATCTAGAAACTCCTTTACAAACATATCCGGAGGTTTGACTTCCAGGTAATTTTCTATCTTGTGAAGTTGGGAGGAAGAATTTGCATGAAAGGACTCCCTTCTAACCTAAAAGAAAAAAAATGGATATTCAACAGAAGAGCTTCAAAAGGGAACGAGTTGATTGACTCTCATTAAGAAGGTTTACCCTCTCATGTTTCTAAGGAGGTGAAACCAGAGCCAGTCATACCACCTACACACACACACACACACACACACACACACACACACACTCACGCGTGCGGGGGTGTTTCCAGGGTTTATTGGTGCCAATGAACTATCATAATTATACACTATTCTTTACTCTTTAAAAAGCTCCCACTTTAAATGTGGCTCCTAGCAATTACAAATCAATTAGAACCTGCAATCAGACCTCCAGTCTTCCAAGCCTGTGTTTTCGCTCGGTAGAGACAAATTGCCCTGCTTTGTTTGAGGTCAGTTCAGTAAGGTCATTTGACTAGCGAGTTGAAGTTAACTGAGACTAATTATGAATTGCCACATCTGAAGCAAATCAGAGTCCTCACGAGGGCTTATTTGTTGTTTCTTCCAGGCAATTTCTTTCCTCACACCCTTGGCTGTTATTTGTGTGGTGAAAATTATCCGGCGGACAGACAAGACTGAAATTAAGGAAGCCTTCTTAGGTAGAGTATTCACAGTTCTTGCTTTAGGGGCTGGGAATGATCTTAATTAGATAATCAAATCTGAAAAAAAAAAAACTCATTTACACCCAACTGATTTTTTTCCTTTGGTCAAAATTAAACTTTGGAAAAATAAGACAACATAAGCTTAAAAGGTGTTGAGTCCATGTGAAGTAAAGGGCACTCACAAGGAGAGATTCTCAGAAGGTGCCCAGTGTACCTGTGTGTGCATGGACCATCCACGCATGTACATGCACACACATACAGAGAGAGAGAGAGAGAGAGAGAGAGAGAGAGAGAGAGAGAGAGAGAGAGA